CCGTATTGGTTTGGGTGTAAGGTGACAAGGTTAGCAGAGTAGCTTACTCCTGCTTAGCTCAAATCCTACTCCGGGAGTAGTTTAGTCCGATAAAATTGGGACTGGGGCAGTTGAGGGCTTGGACTAGCTCCAAGTACTGGTAGTTACACTTATCCAACCTTAAACCACCAACCAATGTGGTTGCTCTAGTGTTTCCACTTGGGTCAAAAACAGCATTTTGCCTCACTTCAACCTTGCTATACTTACCACAACCAGGGTAGTGCTGCCATAGCTTCTACTAATCTAAATATCAAATGATTTCCCAATGATTACTTCCTCCTCTTTCACCTCCCATCTTGAGTCACCTCCTAACTTGAGTTACCTCCCAAATTGAGTCACCCCCCAACTTGAGTCACCCCCAGCTTAAGTCACCTCCCAACTTGAGTTGTAAAATATATACACCTCAATGAACCACACATTCAAATCCAATCATTTCCCCACTTCTGTCCCTTCTCACCCTACCTCAACATTCTAAGTTATGGGAGAGCTCACACACAGAGCTTAAAAGTATGATACAGCCACCAAGTTCAGAAAGCAGTGCTAAAAGCAACCTGAATTGGGGATTGGTCTAATGATTTGGCTAGATATTTGATGGATTGTGCAGTTTTTTGATCTCAAACAGTTCTTTAGACTAGGTTTTTAGAGCCAATTTGGGAAAGGGTAAAAATTAAGATATGTGAATGCTCTTCACTATAATTCATTGATGGAGTAGGACAACTGGTCCAGAAGAGATTCTAGGAACCAAAATCATAATTTTTTTCCAAGAGCTAGCTCAGTAGACAAAGAAATCAGTTTGGGAATTTCTACTAAAATGAAGTAAGAATGGGAGAGAAAAGATAACAAAAATGTAAAAAGAGAAATAACAAAAATAAGAAACAGGTAATGACACACCTAGCTCAGTAGAGAGAAAAATCAGACTAGGAATCTATACTGAGCCAGAATGGGGGATTCAAGACAAACATTCAGCAGTAAGTTGTAATTCAGCTTATGTGAAGAAATAGAATTTCGTGTAAAATATGAGTGGAATAGGTTTACACAGAACTTCAATTTCAAATATTGCGTGCCTTTATTAAACTGGTGCAGTAGCAGCAGTGCACCAAGATTCATTTTTTTGATTTTCTGTGATTATTTGGTAATGGATAATGATATTGATAAGGAAAGTTGGGGAGCCCATGGAAATCCAATATGGGTGCATTTTCTTTTCAGCAACCAGGCTGCTTTGGGCATTGATATTTGATTTCAATTTCAGTTTTGACTGTGTGGCATGGAATAGTCCTCAAGCAAGTCAAAATTCAAGAACAAATATTGATCTTTTATTATAAGATGGGGCCCATTTTGAATTTGGATAGACCCATCTGATGATGGTGATTTACAAAAATTTCTGGTTTTTGGCAGGCTTTGGGTATCTTTTAACTTTTTTTTTGCAATTCTTGCACTGAATCATTTATCATTCTGAGTACTGACTCACTTGTGATCCATCCTGTAGTGATGTGATGCTTGGATACTGGAGAGACCAGTATCTGAAAGTGATCTAAGCTTCCAGACTAGCCGAATGCAGCCTTTCTCAGGAATCCTAAATGTGAGGGTTAGAAGGGATACACCAGCCCATTGTTTGAGAACTTGGACTTCTTTGAGGGGTGCTGCCATCAGGCTGACTTCAGAGTCCAGACCAAACCTTAATTTTTTCATGGTGTAAATCTCCCCTCATGAATAACTTGATTTTTATTTGGAGAACACAGAGTTGTGGTTCTCAAGGAAAAGTTTTTGGTCCAATCAAAGAATTCATTTCCTTGAAATGATACCATTCCCCTGGTTCATTAAATGTTTTTACTTGTATATTGCTAAATTAGTTGATAATTAAGGCAACTTTCAGTGACCGATTTTCAAAACACATCTTCATGTGCCAACCTGGGCCTGTGTTTCTTGCACAAACCACTCCCAGGAAGCTAAGATGTAAGCTTACTGAGTTTAAGTCAGTGTTTGAGCCCAGAATTGAGCTTATTCTTTATTGCTGGCATTATCACAAGTTTGAAGGTGTTATGAAGCTGAGGTGGTTTCAAATGTGTGATTGTTAACTTTGTAGAGCAGAACACTGGATCACAAGATCCACAAGGTCTGAGTTTAGAGGAATAGCTGAGAAGGAACAGCCTAACTTAACTGGACTCCCACCCCTCCAATTGCACCGACAAAGTTAGCAAGCAACCATGCATTCCAAGATGTGCAAGTTAAATTGCCTCTTGGTATCTTCCATTCAATTTTCGCAGCGGTGTGTATGTGCTTGATCTACTGTGCTTCTGTGATCAAAAGTGTTGACTTGGGCTTCATTTGGCCGTCCATGATCGTCATAAACGATCATGGCAGATATTTCAGGGGTGCACAGCTAATGACGGGGCCTCACGATGGTGTTTGGGAGGCCACGTCATATCGAATCTCTTATGACGGAAATGGTCAACAAGATATTTTCTCTGCCAAATCCAAGATTTTGGGTCCCCCCCAAAATTTTGCGTCATAAGTGCCGTTTCGGTGCTCTCATCACCCTCGGGCCGACTCGGCTTTCCCTTACAACAACTCCATATCACCCCCCAGCTGCACACCACCCCCTCTGACCGGCACCATGCCCCCCCATCCTCCTAAAACGCCGTTCCATCATCCACTCCCGAGGTGCACCAAACAGCCACATCGTTATTGATATGGATTTTCAGGCTGCGTCATCTGCACAGCCTGAAAGAATCAAACCTAAATTCTGATTTGACGATTTTTGATGACGGTCTACAACGATTGTGGACGGCCAAACGAAGCCTTGATTAATCTGTAGGTGAAGTCTCATTGACCTCTGCCAAAAAAGAAGGTTTTAGAGTAGAGCCTTTATCATCAACAGATACAAATAATTTATAACTTCATCTGATTTTGGTGTACTTTTTCCATTTCTCTTTTTCTTGTGAGCCTTCTCTATTTTTAGCTCATAGGTGTATGCAACTATACAGTATACATAGAGCTGTGAACTGTGATGGCTGGAGGCTGACCAGTGACACCCATGTGCAAGCTCGTGGACTTGCCCAACCAGTTGGCCCATTTCACTTGTGTTGTACCACTGGTCGACTTGCCAAGGATTTATCAGGAGACCTTGATCGAAGAATTGGGACAAAGATAGCATACGTCATGGCATCGAGTCGATCATGTGAGTTCCTTCAAGCGTCCCCAAAGAAAGACAAATGGGCCTGTACTGATGACCCTCGTTCTGAATGCCATAGCCGTTCCGCTCGAGACATTGGTCCAGGATTGGTTACGGTTAGAGTGAGTCCATCGGTACCCTGGTTTCAATCCAAAAAAAACTACGATGAGTTCTTACAATTATTGAGTCTGGTTTTTGTCCACCAGTCGCGTATGTGTTGACGGTTTCCCGATTTCAGGACTTGTCCCGCGATCATTCTCCTGATTCCTGACGGACACATGGCTTCCATCAGAACCCCACTACTCGGAAAGAAATCGAGCAGCTCCAGCAGGATAAGAACCACGATGAACTTGCCTCTCGATTATGCCAACGCATCAAGTTCGGAACTGCTGGTTAGTGTAATACTACATCCGCAAATCCTTTAACCAGGTCCGAAATTAAGGCGACTGTCCCCTACTTCCAGGTCTCAGGGCACATATGTCTGCGGGATTCTCGAGGATGAACGATGTGACGGTGATTCAGGCCAGTCAAGGTTAGTTTCTTCGCCTTGAATTTCCTTCTTTCAAAAAAGGTCATGAGCTCATCCATGTTGTTTTTGAAGGTTTGGCTGCTTATCTAATCAAGGACATCCCTAATGCTACTCAGAAGGGCATCATAGTCGGACATGATCACCGTCATAATTCGCACAGGTTCGCCCGTCTGGCCGTTACTGCATTCTTGAGGCGCGGATTCAGATGCTATCTGCTCGATGGGTCTGTAGCTACACCAATGGTCGTAAGTGCACTCGCTGTCAAGATTTTCAAGTCCGATCTCATGTCCGATTTTGCTTGTGGGGTAGCCGTTTGGGGTCAAATATCTCGGAGCCGCTGCAGGTGTCATGGTCACTGCTTCACACAATCCAGCCGCTGACAATGGCTACAAACTGTAAGCTTGATGCATTGTGAGCTAGCTCAACATCACCTCAATCGTGCTGATTACCGAACTTGCGTTTCAACACAGATATTACTCAAATGGTGTTCAGATCATTTCTCCTCATGACAAAGGGATCGCTGCTTCCATAGAGCAAAACTTAGAAATAGATGAGGAAGCTTGGAGTACAGAGCCTACTGCACAGATATCCGAAGCACTGCTAGTCAATCGAACACAAGAGATACAGGATGCGTATTTCAAGGCGATTTCTGGCTTGGTAAGGCACTCCAAGTGAGTAGCTCCCATGCAATGGATAATCTAAGTGCCCCATCCAACTGCTCAACTCACTGGTGGGACATCTTTTTTAGGTTAGAGAATTCAAAGACTCCGCTCAAGTTCATCTACACGCCAATGCATGGTGTTGGCTATCCATTTGCCACTCGAGCTTGTGTTGACACAGCAGGCTTTCCATCCCATGCCTGGCTTCCAGTTGAAGCCCAGAAAGATCCCAACCCAGATTTCCCAACCGTTAAGTTTCCCAATCCTGAAGAAAAGGGCGCGCTCGACATGGCGATGAGTCTAGGGAATAAAACTGTAGAGGCAGATCGAGCGCAAAAGGTGATGATCCTGGCCAATGATCCCGATGCTGATCGTTTTTGTGCTGCTGAATGGACCGGGTCAGTTGCTTTGGTTGATCCTACGAAATCTCCTCTCCCCCAACTGACTTGGCTGTTTTAGATCTAATTGGAAAACGTTTTCTGGTGACCAGATTGGCGCCGTCTTTGCTTGCTGGACTTTGCAGAACTTCAAAAAATTAGGGACACCGCTGGGTAAGTCTTTGAGAATATTCCCAAGCTTTCTTCGCTGTACTCAAGTCAATTATGGCTGCAGATCGTATCGCAATGCTCTCTTCCACCGTATCATCTCACTTGGTGGCCCAAATCGCTCGTCAGGAAGGCTTTAAATTCAAAGAAACATTGACCGGGTTCAAGAACATTGGCAATGAAGCATTGAATCTTGAGAAGGAGGGATACAAAGTCCTGTTTGCATATGAAGAAGCTCTTGGATACATGTTTGAGACCGGGATCTTTGACAAGGATGGGCTTGCTTCCATAGTGGTATGGGCAGAACTTGCCACTGAACTAGCTCAGCGCGGCAGTTCGGTTGCGGAGTATTTAGAGAATATTTATAAGACGTTTGTCTAGCTTTTCTCGATTATGACTTCCAAAACTTTGCAAGAGCTGATGCGACTTTTCGGCTTTCAGTTACGGTTACTTTGCGACCAACAACGGCTATTTTGTCTGCAAGGATCCGTCTGCCGTCAAAGCCAAATTCGACAGCTTGCGTTTCGGGGAGCAATCTGAAGGGAAGCCCGACCCCTCCAGTCGATCGATGATGCTGGATCAACTCCGCTATCCTAGCGCTTTGGCGGGCTATCCAATCACTCGCATTCGGGATCTGACCATCGCCTATGATGACAGTTATCCACCCCAATGTCTGCCCGACCTGCCTTCATCATCCGATGAGATGATCACCTTTTACTTCGGAGGTGAAGCAGGAGAGGTGATTGCTACTCTAAGGACCAGCGGCACCGAGTCTTGGAAGCTCAAATATTATGTGGAGGGCAGGGCTGAAGACCAACTGACTGCTCAGAAGAAAGTCGACCAAATCGTCGCCGCTCTCGGCGAAGAGTGGGGTTTCTCTAATCTATGACTCTTGTATTGATCACTGTGTTTCTACTCTAGGTTGCTTGAATGTATTCCAATTATTACTCCCTTCCGATGTATATGCATAGTCTTGTAATGTCCTTGGCCGAATAAAGCTGAATGTGATACACTACTAGGTTATATGGGATTTCGCACTTATTCACAGTCTCCCATTCGAAGATTGACGCCAAATCTCAGACAACTCAGATCTGCATTTCTGGATCAAAAATCACAGCCCTCAGTTGTTCTTTCGGCTGAGCCTATTTCAAGCCGAGCAAGGCCACTGTGACTTAATTCTTGCTGCCAATATATAGGAGAATATGATTACGCATGTTTGCTGCTTTAGATGGAGGTCGGACACTAATGCGAGACAGTGGCCCAGTGCCATCTCAGGCATTGAAATGCTATCACAGCAGGCCGGTTGCAGCACTATGGGCTAGAATTTAAGAAGTAGTCCTTGCATGGAAAAGTGTTATTGCCAGTTAAGAAAACAACCGGTGAATTGTTGTGCTCATAAGTACTCTACATCTACAACTACTGGAAGTTCAGAGGGCTGTTGAGGAATCCTTCTCTTCCATTCATCGCGGTTCAACAGTATGGATTTCTCCCAGTCTTTTGCCACATCTTTCCGCCACTTGTACCAGTGGCTTGAGACACTGGGAGCTGGGTAGATTTCACCGTCAAATTTGAAGGCATTGTAGTGATAATGTCCTTCCAAACAAAGAAGCAAGATTGGAGGGTTAGTTGATGGACCTGCGCCATGAGACAGCGGTAGAAAGGTGATTTTCATGGATTCTGTGATGTAAATCACAGGCCGTTGGAATGTGTCAGCCAAGAGATCACCGTGGAGCGGAAACTTGATCCAATTATTGAATTTGGCAGGCGACCTGAAGTAGTTCAGGGTTGCCTCCAACCTGCTATATGGGGCTGAATCCGCTACGGCTTCCAGGTAAGACTGGTTCCGATAAATGGGCTGGTCCTTCATTTCTTGTAGCATTGCCTTCCTGATCTGTGGCCAGGAATCTTCCCCTTGTCCCATGCTGACAGCAGCGGCCCGGAAGCCACAATGGCCATCCCCATTGACATTGCGTATGCTTGAAATGACTGCGCGGATATCTTTGGGGACCAATTCCCAGTGCTTGTGGTCCTGCCAATAAAAAGAAACACATCGTTAGCAGAGCTTCACCATCTGTTGTTCCTTTTCCACTGACCTGATTGAATTCGTGCCAATGATTTGCTCGTTGTTGTACTTCTTCATCATCTTGTTCTTTTTCCAAGATATCTGGGACTTCGATATCTCCTCTTGTATCATCCTCTGCAATCCCTTTATTTCCAGGTGGTTTAAATGAATTAGGGGTGTCCACAACAGTCGTAGGATATTTAACCACTTCATATTTTTCAGACAATTCAAAAATCACTATCTCAAGCGGAAATCTACCAATTCTCACCTCTTGTATTGCCACCTTTGTCTCCTGAATCTTCAATGATTATTAATTCCTTTTCCTTTTCATTAATATGTTTTGCTGGTTTTAATGAGGTTTTTTTACCCATGGTGGTTGTTTGATTGTCCAAGTTGAAAATTAATGTGTAAGACATCAGTACAGAAAATTGTTTAATTTTTGGAATTTTTGAGCTTACCTTCCACTCTGCTAGGTTCAAAGACTTTACTACCTAATTTTTCTGTTCTGAATGTATCATATTTTGCTTCATTTGAGGTCAGAAACTCTGGGTTTGTCTCCAATAATTCATCTTCAAAATTCAATCAGTGAATTCATTCAATCTGACAAAGGTTTTAAGCCTTACCTGAAGGAACACAAACTGTTTCATCTTGGGATAAGTTGATTCCCTTCACAGATGGAACCAATACCTTTGGATGATAAAATCTTTCACTGAATCCTTCTTTTGCATCTTTGCTATATTTTTTCTGAGCTTAAAGAATTATCATGTCAGTTGATCATCTAATGGTTCATGCTTCAAAGATAATTCACAAATATTCTTAACAGGTTTTACATCTTCTGATTCATTGATTGGGTAAAGAGGAGAGGTTGGTTTGGTCTTTTTTGCACTTTCTATTCCAGAATTACAGTGTGAACTTTGTTTTTTACTGAACAGAAATTGCATCAATCTATTCCAGGAATTCATGATTTTTTTCAAAAGAATTCTTATTGCTGACTTGAATTTTTCAAATTTTGTTTCTTGAATTTTGATAGGTTTAGAATCTAAAAATTCTGGCTTGTTGGGTTTCCCCTCTCCTTCTGATGGTTAAATAAGAAAAATTTGAACTGGTTGTTATCTCTATCAAGTTAATTTGCATAACATTCCCTTCCATAATCCTTACTGGGTGCTTGAACCAAATTCAAAACTGGAGGGCCTGGTTTTATCTTGGAGTCCATATGTTTAAAACCTTGATTGGTATGGTCAGGTTTTACATTTTTATCTGATTTAGTTTGATTTTCATCCACCAATTTGAGTGCTGGAAAGTTGAAACATAGTTGTATTGAAGAAATGGTCAATTCCAAGCATCAGTTTTTTATATTTAATTTTGAACTTTGATTCCCATCTCCAGGGCTCAACATGTCCTTTTCAACCTAGTTTATATTTTCATGAACTCATTTTTACATTAAAAAGGCTTACTATTCCCCTCTTTGTTCATAACTGGTGATGAATTTTGAAACAGAATGTAATTAGTAGCTATTGATGTGAAAAATTGGGTTGAAAGTTTTCAATTCCAGTTCTCCAGTTTAGTACATATCTTTCAATGACCATAGCCCATGAACATCAATATCACATACAAATTTTTCCTTGAACGCCATTCAAGGCTATGCAATGGGATTGGGTCAAGCTTCTGGCTTTTCTGTTTTTCACTTCAATGTAAGAAAGAGTCAGAATTTGTCTTGAATGTGAGAAAAATTTCTGGGATTTATATCACTGACTTTGATTATCAACTGTTGCAGCATCTAGAAGTAAATAATTTGATTTTCAATTTGTTAACTATTGGGGAAAAACGGATTTTCTTCATTTTACGGATTTTCTTCATTTTATTCAAAAGAGTGATCTTGGAAAGATTGGCATACTGTTTAAAGCCACTGTTCTCTTTGTTTGCCAATGACTGTACTGTAAATTTACAGCAGCTTCTGAAATTTTTCTCTTCACCAGTGGTGTTGAAAATGAAATTGGATGTGCTGAAAAAATGCAGAACTGTAAGAGACAAAAGGTCAATACTATGGCTGAAATCATAGCTAAGAAATTTCTTTTCAACAGTGTGTTCAGCTTAAAATATTAAATCTCTTCCAGTTCCTGCTGAGAGGAAGGCTCAATGACAGGAAGGTGTATCACACCCTGTCTCTTACATTTTTTCAAAATCTGTATGCCAAGCTTCTCCTTTCCATTTATCAGTTCCCTCTTACAGGTGTGTTGACAAATCGTAATTGAGCCAATCTGAATCATTGTTCAAATTTCTGGCTTTGAGATTTAGCTTGTTTCAAACTATATAGATACAAGGATAAAAGATTGTCAGACAACATATTCTCTTTTCCAAAATTGTTGGAACCTCTCCAAAACAATCCATCTTGTTATGCATTAAGGAGCTAGTTTTATCTTATGTATTCTGAGGATTCTGTCATAAGGTATCCCACCTTTTGCTTCTACTTCCCCTGCCCCTATCCAGCGACCCGATGCCTGGCCATGAACTTCCCTCCCAGCCTGGTCCGGTGTAGTGAATGATGGCCGGGCAGAGGATGGGATCAGGGTGAACTTTGCACCCTGATTCCAAATATGAGCTTCAATTTGCCAGAGCTCTTCTTAAGAAGAAACTAAGGCAGGGTTGCAGTGTCAGGTCTTGGGCCGGATCACATACCTGTCCAAACCCAAACCTGTAAAATCAAAGTTCTATATCAAAAGCATGGGATCTGCCTGGACCTTCCCAGACAAAATTTTTTCAAATGGTTCCAAGCTTTTTGGAAAACATAATAGTTTAATCCCTAATCTCAACAGTCCGAGCGCATGACTGTGGCAGTAGGCGCAGTCACTGCACATGAAACCCCATTGAAACCCCCAGATGTTGCTCCGTGCAGGACTGACATGCAATTGTCCGTGGTGACACCACGGACATTTGCCTGTTGCTCCCACCCACAGCAACATCCGGACAAATCCAAGTGCGTGACTGCGGAAGTATGCGCAGTGACCGCCCGTGAAGCCCCACTGAAACCCCCAGATGTTGCTCCGGCCGGAACGAAAAGGCACATGTGCAGGGTAGGATATGGGCTTCGTAATTCAGTGGTAGAATGCCTGCTTTACATTCCAGGATGCGCAGTATGTCGCGGGTTCGATCCCCGTCGAGGTCATCCTTTTGTAACCCGGCGCACGTCGTTTTTTATCTCCCCGGTAGACCGGGGTTAGGTTAAGGATAGTGAGACGCGGGCGCCCACCCTCCGATTGTGACATAGTGTCGATTGGGAAACCTAACCTGCCCGCTGGGAGCCTCCGTACCGAAGCCTCACACTAGCCCGGGCACGTCGCCCATTGCCTTTCGAACAAGACCCAACAGAACCATCCAAGGTGAATACCCGTACTCCCCTCGACTTATTGCCGATCTCTCCTCGCGCCAACTTCAAGGACACCGATCTAGAGAGAAAATGTCGATCAATCAGGCTGCTGACCTCTCCATGGCTTTTTCTTCTTCTCAACAGAAAACTGTAGCCGTTTGAAGTTTTGCGATGGCCAAATCAAAGAACCACACCAAGTTCGTCCATGCCCTCCGTTCACCATCGATCAACGGGACTGCAATCTCCAGCTCATGATATCTAATGTCATATGTTTCTATGTTCAATTTCTACACAGTCACAACCAAAACAAGAAGGCCCACAAAAATGGTATCCACCGACCTTTGCGTTGCCGATACCCCTCCTTGAAGGGTGTAAGTCCTGTAATCAATCTCATCCAGTAACTGTGTTCGCTTGCTCAAGTCCTCGCTTGGTTTGCCACTCTAACTGTCCATCATAGGTTGACCCCAAATTCCGAAGGTACGTCTCACATTTTGGTCTCCTCTTTCCTGTTGATAATTGGATTCAGACCGAAAAAGCAAAGCTGACTCGAGATCGCATCTTCATACTTGACACAGAAACCAGAAATTTGCCAAACACGGGACCCAGAAGGCGCTTGCCGCCGCCCGAGCGGAGAAGGCATAATCAAACAGCACCGCCTATGAAGAAGATCATTGCCTGAAGTTGAAAAATCCACCGTCTCTTTCACACGCCTGCAATTGATCATCTCCATCCATCCCCGCTTTTTGTAATGAAGCTCGTTTATGTGAAGGCCGTTTTCTCTAGACTTGCCGGTTTTGTATGACATGCCAACTTATGCCCTGTCGTAGGGCGCTTGCCTTACTTGCATTCAAATCGATCTTAACTTCCTTAACCTCCTGTATGAGCCCTGTCCTTGCCTAACGATATAATCCAGAGTTTTCTCAAAACAGTCAGCTAGGCGCCCATTTTCCGCTTCTACCCTCAGCACATATGCATGCTACGCGGCAGCGATGTAAGATAGATAAAGCGGGAAATCTATGTATGTCGGATCTACCCTCCAAGGCTAATGTATATTGGAAGCTGTTGATTTCCATCCTGGGATCAACCCAAAAGTCAGCGCAGTCCATCCTCTGTTGAGAGGTCTTGCTTCCCGTTCGCATGAAGTCAATTGGACTGTGCTACAAAAATGTATGAGCCAGGACTCAAGATCCCTGTGAGAGACAACTTAACAAAGTCCCCGTACATAGTAGAATGAAGCAGTGCCTGGTGGCAAACCCATCCTTTCTGATTTCTTGAGCATGTGGTTTCAATGCTTAAATCCAGTCCAGCTGGTGAAAATTGAAATGTTGCTTACTGTAATGGTTTTTGAAGATAAAAACTCACCAATATCCTACAACTAGCTGGTTTCATGATTGGCATTTTTCATAAACCCATTTATCTCCCAAACCAGTCATGACCTGCCTCCAAGCTTAAAAATTGTTAAAAACACACTTGCTATACATAAAAAAGAAAAAAAAAAACACACACACATCCGACACTTTCCATCTTTCTCAGCTTGTCCTCCTATAGTCCTCCTTACTCTCTGGCCAAGATCTCCCAGACAACTCACCCCTCAGCTCATGTTTTTGAGCACGGCTATATATCCCAATCACAAACAGTCTCTCTGCATCTTATAATGTGTGTGTGTAAACCCCTCCTTTGGTTGGGTTCACAAACCTTTCATTCACATGTCACACTCTCTCCTTACGTCTTCATTTTCCTTTTCACATTCCTGGCTCTGCAGAGATCTGCCCTTCCATCTCTCTGAGCCAGGTAAGCTCTATTTCCTTTTCTTCTTGTCTTTCTCTCTTTCTAGATTGTACTGAGAGATCTGCCCTTCCATCTCTCTGAGCCAGGTAATAAAAAGCTCCCCCACGTTTGGTCTTAGAAAAATTCTAGGCTCCTTGCCTGTCCCTTGTGCCTTTCCTCGACTCATCCAGTGAAGGACATTCTCAGTCCTTACAGTGTATCATTTTGCCTGTTCAAGAGGCCCTGTACTTGACCAGCAAAGCACGATAACAAGTGTGAAATAGAACTACAATAATACACACACATTCCCTCCCTCTTTCACACGTGTTTCTCTCATTCCAATCACAACTGTAAAAACATCATGCTTTAATAACAACCAGGATAAAAAATGTGCTCAAAAAAAGATAGTTTGTTTTGGTTCTATTCTAATTGCTAGTTTTGTGGACAGATCTCAAGGAAGAAGAGCAAGGAAATATCCATGGTGATCAACAAGACCAAGAGTGTAGAAAGTTGAATAATGTATCTCCTCGGCTCCCATGAGAAGATTTCTTCAGCCTCCTCAAGATGTTATATTGTTGCCCATATCCATCCAGAGTTGTTGATCATGCGGGCCCACCACACCAAGGGGGATCTTTACAAATCCCTCCCTCCTTCTCCTTCATCTGATCTCCAGGTTTTGTTTTAGCCAGGAAAGGAAAAAAAAAGAATTGTCTTATAAAGCCATAGAATGGATCATATTAGTGATCTTATATAAAATAACCCACAGGGGGACAACAATTACAAACAGCTGAAGGAAGGAGAGGATTAAAAGGAATGGGATCACCTGTCACTGGGAGTCGAACCCAGGTTACCAGGAACCACCAGCTCAAGAGAGAGAAGTATCTTTCCGATCTCAAAACCTGGTGTCCTAACCACTAGACGATGACAGGATTCGATGACCAAGAGTCCAATCCGACCTACTCGATCGGGCCGAATGATTGTAAGGATCGACAGCTCTATTCAAGGAGGCCTCATGATGATTGCTTTAAGATTATGGAAGAATGTCAGCCGCGAGAATGCCCCGAGATCTGAGCGGATGAAGAAGCGGCCCGATCATCGATCCCCACGAATGTCGGTGACGAACATACATACATATAAATAGGGTGAAGAAGTAGAAGAAGATGTACAACAAGCGGAGACGGGTGTGGAGATAAGATGGGAGCCTAGAGCCCGGCTCGGACTGAGCATCGTGTGCACGGATCGGTGTACATACTACTATAAACATCCGAACACAAACCGCTCGGGGGTTCTCGACATATGTACTTTTTTCCGGGGACATGTGTATATGTATATTCTCCTCAACTTACTACTGATGCCAGAAACGAGAGAAAGAGAATGACAGAGTTTGGATGAGAGAGAAGCGGGAAGGTTAATCCCACTCATGAGTGTGATTGAAGTCATTAAGAGTAAACGAGGCGGACGAGGAATGGTTAGGATGATGGAGATTAAGACTGAGATGGTTAGTATTCGTGGAGGAAGAGGTCGACGGATGATGATGATGATGATGATGGTGATGGTGGTGGTGAAGAGATGCAGCAGCAGCAGCAGGAGGGGTCGGCGAAGAAGACGAGGAGGAGGAAGAGGTCGAGGCGGCGGCGGTGGTCGTCGCGGATAGTAACATCGGG